TAGGGAAAGGTGTATATATAATTAAATCTCCCAACCTTAGTCCTGTCATGGTGAAGATCCTGAGCTGGAAAAAAAAAACAACAGGGTGTTGAAATTGCTGTATGTTTTCTCGTGCCTCAAAAAGTAGAAGTGCATGGTGGGAGGGGAAGGCACCTGGGGGTTAGAAGACCCCAGCTGTGTGTGTGGGGATGTGGGCCCCCTTAAGAGAAATTTCTTTCAACGCAGATGTGGAATTTCCAAGCGATTATCCCTCAGGGTGCCTCCTAGGCTGTGTGGACATGACCGATTGTTTATCGCAAGAGCAATTCAATGAGCAGGTGAGTACCGCAAATAAACCTTTACGAGCTTGCATTAGCCAGCAAACTTTTAAAGTAGTGTAACTTGCCTCCATGAGATGCTCTAGAGAAGACGTTGAATGGAGATTTTAGACTGTGTTGAGAGAAGATGCAACTACTATGCGGTCTTGTATAACTAGAAGGAGAATGTACCGAGAAAATGCATTTCAGCAATGGCGGAAGGGAGCAGTGGACTAATACAGCCTAAATCCATCATCAGCCTCTCTGGCAGTGTGGTAGTTTGGTTGAAACTAGTTGCTCACATACTCTGAAACTCTTTTCAATACAGACTCATGCCTGTTTAATTAAACCAACACCAGATTGAGAGACCATGCTGCATGGGCTCATGACAGTTGTTGCTTCCCTTGCTGCACAGATCGATATGCACCAGGATGCTGTGACTGTGCTGGACTGTGGAAGATGGGAAACTGCAATGCATTCATGTTGTATTGTTTTCATCCTCATTTGGCAAACTCAGGAGCTTACATCTTACCTCGATGTGACTTCTAAAGTGCTGGTTGTTTCTCTTGAATCTTTGTGGGGTCCTAATAGAAAGAATTGTTCCAAGTTTTGCCCAGCTAGGCAGCAGTGTTTTGCTACCTCTGGGTATAACTATGCTGATCTTCCCATCTCGGGGGGGGACTTTGGATTAGGAGCAGTCATATACCTATTTGGCCACTTTTGGAGTGCAGCAAACAACTCCCTGAGCACAGCCAGCAGAGACTTTGCAGTTACTGGAGTGATTTGTGTGGCAGAGGACGTGAAGGGGCCTGGAAACTCAAGACAGCGTGGAAACATGGAAAGCTGCAGCAATGGTGGTGATGTGCCATGGGACCTTGTCCCTGGCCCTGTGCTACCAGCAGGATCAACTACTCTGGTATGAGAGAGGGTGGCTTGGCCCAAGCGGAGGCATCTAGGTCCATAGCTGCTGGAACTGCCTGGTGCTTCTTCCTGGAGCTGGAGGTCACAGTGGCCTCACTCGTGAGAGTTGTGCTCTGGTTGGGGCACTGAGTCACCAGGAGGAGGAGGTGAGCACCCTCCCACCAGGGAGGATGGACAGGAGAGCCACAGGGTCTTCACAGGGACCCTGCAGAGAGGACATCCAGAGCCCCTAGATACAGGGAAGGAGGGACAGCTGGAGATTACAGTGGATCAAGACTCCCAAGGGAGTTAAGGGAGGTTTGAGTGGCCTTTGCTGAATGAGGCAGGTGATTTGGTGGCCAGGGACACAGAGAAGGTTGAGGTACTGAGACCTCCTTTGCCTCAGGCTTCCCCGACAAGATCTCTGAGATCTCATGCCTAGAGGCAGGGTTCAAGGAGGAGAGGGACTACCTGTAGTGAAGGGAGGAGATTGAATCAGGAGCCTTTTGAGAAATCTCAACCCGTACAAGTCCGTGGGTGCTGATGGTGTGCATCCAAATGTGCTGAGAGTGTTGGCAGATGTCTTTGGGAGGCCACTCTTACCTTGGAAAGGCTATGGAGATCAGGAGAGGACCCTGATAATTGTAGAAAGGTGACTATTACATCCGTCTTTAAAAAGGGAAGGAATGATGACCCTGGATGCTTCAGGCCAGTCAGCTTCACTTTGGTCTCTGGGAAATTCGTAGAGCAATTTGTCTTGGAAGCCAATTTTGGGCACATGGAGGAGCAGTGTGGATTTACCTAGGGGTAAAATAATGCTTGACTAACCTGATTACCTTCTATGATCCAATAGTTAGAGTGGTGAGTATCTTTTACTTTGTATTTAGCAAGGCTTTTAGCCTGGTCTCCTACAGCATGCATGTATCCAAGATGAGTCATTATAGTCTGGGTGGGTGGACTTCTGGGGTTGACAACTGACTGGGTCATGGGGCTTCAAAGTGCAGTGGTGGTTGCCTCATAATCTCCTTGGAGGCTGGTCACAGGCTGTGTTCCTCAGCGCTTTTTCCTCAAACTTCTCCTGTTCAATGCATTTAACAATGACCTGGAGGGGGAAATGCAATGTCCCACAATGACTTTTTGAATGTTGCTCTTGGGAGGAGCAGTGGGTACACTCAGCAGCAGGGCTGCCATTCAGAGGAACCTTGACAGGCTGGAGGAAAGGGCTGGCATGATATTCCTGAAGGCCCAATGCCAAACCCTGCACCTGGGGTGGACTAACCCCCTGCATTGGTGCTGGGGAGTGGTTCTGCTGAAGAGGCACTGGGGATCTTGGCAGCCAGTGAGCTGAACGGGAGTCCTGGCAGCAAGGAGGGCTGGCAGCATGATGGCCCAGTATGGCCAGTAGAAGTGATTATTTCTCTTTGCTCAGCATTGGTTAAACCACATCTGGAATACTGCGGTCACAAAAAAGATGTTAATAAACTGGAGTGAGTCCAGTGGAGGCCACCAAGGTGGTTGGGGGCTGGAGCACATGGCCTGTAAGAAAGGCAGGGGAAGAAAAGAGACCTTCCGCTTCCTGCAAGGAGGCTATAGAGAGACAGAGCCAGGCTCTTTGCTGATGTACATGGCAGGAGGATGATACACAAGGGTCATAAATTGAAAGGGGAGGGTTCAATGTGACTTAAGAAAAAAAATTCCCCATGAAGACAGCCAAACAGGCACTACCCAGAGGGATTGTGCAGTCTCCACCCTGAACATTTTCAACACCTGACCCAACAAAGCTGTGAGCAACCTTGCCTGAATTCAGTGTTGACCTTGCTTTGATTGGGAGGTTGGACTAGAGACCTCCTGAGGTCCGAGTCTGTGATGCTGTGGCTAACTCCATGCCCAAAATCTGGTGCAGCAGCTTTCTTCAGGGTGTGTTTTATTAACTTAGAAAGCCTGTGCTTAGTACCAAGCACAGCATGGCTGTTCTCAATACTGTTTCATGTCTAGTTGCTCCACTGCCCCTTGTACAAGTTCGGTTTGGTCTGATGGGAATCACCAGACCGTGTAGGGTTTGATAGTGAACCTAGACCGTCTTGTGAGATGGAATAAGTGGATCCCTTGGGACAGAGGAGGAGGACACACCAGGCTGATGGGCATCTTCTTGCCATGAAGAGTTGGGGAGGCATCAGCAGCTAGGGGCTGTTTTTCATGAAGTGCTCTTCTGGCTTTCCCAAACCCTTTGAGGTTTTTTAGCAGAGAGCGATGCCTGGAAACTAGAGATGAAGAGAGGATTTCTGATGAGGTTGTGTCTCCTCTTAGTTGTGGGTGGAATGGGGAGAGGTTGGAATATGATATGAGCAGCAGAGGGAGCTTTGGGACTGAAACACAATGAAATCTGCAGGAGTGTTTGGCCTTGTATGAGAACACGCCTTGGGAGAGAGAAGAAGAAAGGACACTGGGGCCAATGTAGGGTGTTTTTTTTCCTGTAGCATCCACTGATTTATAGTTTGGTTTTAAGTGGAGAAACTCGTCCTCCTTCTGCCATCTGTGGCAGTGGTGGAAAAATATGTCCTGGTTTCTCACAAGTACTTTTATGTCCCTAACAATTCACCCTCTTCCTTTGCGGATATGTTCTTCAGGCATTGTCAAAATGGCTGTGACAGCTTGTTACAATCTGGAAATTGAGCTGCAGGTAACTAGCTTTTAATCTTCCCATAGAGGAGCCTCACAATTAGCTATGTTCTCTATAAATTCTTCCCAGTTTGCTGGCACCGTTTGGCTGCAGAGACACTGGAGGAAGAGTAGCGTATTCCAGTAGCACTGCTATTAGACCAATAGATGACAGATTTACCTCTCTTCTCAATGCTACGATGCCATGGCACTTCCCGGTTTATATCTCACTGGGTTTTTGCTGCTCCCATATTGCAAACTATTTATAATTCCCAGTTTGTTGCCTTTTTACAGTGGTTTTGTCCATTTTTTCCCAGGCTTGCTTAATGCAGTGTTCATTTCCCTAGCTTGTAAGATTGAATTCAGAGATCTGAGCATCCTTCTGAAGCTGGTTTATGAGGAAATATATGTTTTTGTGGACTACCATGAGCAGCAAGTGCATCTGAAGGAAGCTGAGATTAATTTAATTGCAAATGCTAGCAACACAAAAAAGTGTGCAGTGCCAACTCAGAAATCGGAGTAGGGTCTCGCTGGGAGTTGGAAACCCCTGTTGCTCACGCTGATGATTCAGCCCAGGTTCATCAGCAACCAGCACCAAAACCACTTGTCAGCAGTTTTATCCAGCCATTTCTTGGTGTACAAAGACTCCTCCTCGCTTCAGGGCAAGTGGGAGAGGAAGATGTGTTATTGCCACTTATGGCATGCAAAAAACATTGAATATTTTCTTCAGATCTGCAGTATATTAGCAAGTAAAGTAACGTGATGCAGCAGCAGACACCTCTCAGACATTAAGCCACTGCGGAGCTCTTTTCAGTCACTGTGCTTTGACTCACACTTCTCCTCTTCACCAATTTGTATTTGAAGCTTCTGCATTTTCCGGAAGAAATTATTTCACAAGTGTAGGGCAAGCCACATTTGCAGATTATACCCACCACCCGAAGATGAAATAGTTCCCTGTCCTGCTCATTTTCTTTTGATGATGGCCCTGCCTTTTTCAGCAGCCGTGGAAGTTTGTTTTGACTCTTGTGACCATTCATTCCCATAGGCAGGGGAGACTCTTCCTGGTCTGTCCCTCCTGCAACTTTTCTATTATTTCTGTCTTTTTGATGCTGTTGTCCACTCCTTATTTAGTACTGTCTGCAGATTTAATTTCCTTGCTGTTTGCATCCTCTCTGAGGTTGCTAATGAAGATGTTAGTGGCACCCTGCTGGTATTTTTCTATCATTATCCTCATTTAGTATTTGTTTTTTTACACTTTTGCTCAAAAAACAATATCAAGCAACAATGTCCTGTTTCACTGGATGCTGCACCAGCAGACTCAGACCAAGTCCCTGCCCCAAGGGCTTGCATTATTATTAGGGATCGGTTATTTATCCGCATTATTACTGGACATGTAAGTCCTTGTGTAACCCCTTCAGAGGGGTCAGTCTTGCAGCTCTGCCCTACATACAGTGTTTGAAGAC